GTGCATTATGCGGGTGGGCAGCAGTCGTGTAAGGCTTGTTTGTCACGGCATGCATGCTTGCCAGCATAGAGCTTGCCTTTGCGCCTTGGTTTTCCAAGCGACAGGTACGCTTGGCAGTGCGTTGGCATTATCAAGCTAAAGTGGCAGTCCTGGATAGATGTTAGCAGGTTAGTTAGCAGTAGCGGCAAACTTGTCGAGTGCCAGGGTTTACTATGAGTCAGAGCGAAAGCTCGACCAATCATTTACGAACACTGTCATGTTTGATGAAGCACTCTTATGCGTTCTGTGGCTTGCATAGGCGCAGCAGCGGCTGCGTCCCTCGCCTGGTCGGCGGCACTTCGAGCGCATACTGGGTGCCAGGCGTTGGATGAGTTTTGCCTTTTGCACTCTTAGCATTTGGCTGCAGAAACAAGGCCTTTGCAAAGAAAGAATATCTAGAACTGTTACAAATAGGTGCAGCGTGGATGGTGCAGCTCAGCCCACTAATGTGTCAGATCATGTTAAGTTGGCTGGTGTGCGTGAGAGTATGCAGTATACATGATACGTCACGGCATGTTGGACTGCAGGGGCTGGGGAACTAGAGGTTACAAGTTGATTTGTTTCTATCTTGCAGCTAAATCCAACTTTTCGGATCTCCAGCCATGTCTCTGAGCATGAACACGTCTTAACCCCTTCATGCGATTGCAGTGAGCTAAAGGCCTGGCTATAGCCAGCCACTTTCAGACAGAACGGGGAAATGGGTCTGGCTTGCCGAAAGTTGCGCCATGGCTCCTCTGAGACCAGACAGCCCTTCTTGCCAGATGATTCCAGTCACTGGCGCAGCTTTGTCTCTTTTAGTCCATCTTTCATGAAAATATTTGTTGGGAAAGTAGGCACATGAGGCCTCTTCCAGTGCCTCAGTCAAATCTGGCACGCCCTCCGCGGTGTCTGGGCCAGAAAATGAGTTGACTTGACGGTCAGGACTACTTTGCTACGATGGCAACGGTTTTGTGAGAACCAGTACTATTACCATGACTATCGCTATTGGACTAGACGATTACTATTGCTAGTACTATTTTGATTGTCATTACTGTTGCTATTGCTATCACGATTATTATTGCTATCACTATTACTTTTGCTATTATTGCTATTACTGTTTCTATTTGAGTGCAATCTGCAGGTCAAGCCCTCGGCAACCGAGTGGATGCCTATGCGGCTCCCCTGACCTGGCTGCTCTGGATCTCAGTAGATCCACGGAGTGGGCAGATCATTCCATATCCCAAGGAGGACGGGCCGGCGAAGCAAGGGCGAAGCAAGGGTGGCAACATTTGTGGCAGCAGTGACGCGGAAAGTCTTGCAACGGCTGATAACTTCGATTCCTTGACGCCTAAGCACGGCAAGGCAAACCTTAGCATGGTTCGACCACCAGCAAGACTGCAGATGGCACTGCCTTACAAGCCGTGGGTAAGCTTCGTTGATGTGACATGGTGTGATGCAGGTAAGCAGACTCCTGGAAGCTGCGCATACGCGTGGCGATGCTCTGGTTAGCTTGGGAAGCAGGCTGGCGGTTTGCGTGCGCAAGGGAGAGGTCTGTGAGATGTGGAAGTGAAAGTTTGGGATTCCAGAGAAGTTTTGCAGGTTCTTCGATGCTCATGTCGAGCTTGGCTCTGCTCCTCTGCAACGCACAGGCAGGGAGTGCTTCTTTGTGAGAACGAGCCATGTGCAAAGGGTAGTCTAATTGAACATTTGGCCATGACCCGGCTTTGCTGTTGCCAGGACGAGGCAGTCGTGACGTTCGCCGTTTCGCTCTTCCGTGCCCTGCAGAGCCAATTCGACTTCATGTTGCGCCACTCCGACAGATGGAAAGTTGCTCACGAATCATGCAATGGAGGGCAGGCAGCGCTTACAGGTTTCAGCGGCCACCGCAATTAGTAGTACCCCTTACCGTTTTTGCATGCCATGATGGGAGCTTGAAGTCTTGTCTGCTCTGCATGGACCGTCAAGACCATAGCACAAATTTCGCTGGTGAGCTCCCATGCTCTCGCATTCATTAATGACCATGCCTGCTGAATTTCATGCCTTTGGTACATACTGGCATTTTTGTTCTAGAATCAGGGAGATTCAAGTGAGGCATGAGAGGCATCGCTGGCGAGTCGTGGATCCCCGCGAGGAAAACGCAGAGGCAGAGTGAAGCAGCCAAGTTATTGCAAGAGCGCAGAAACCGAAACCGTGACTTCTTGCCGTTAGTACATTGGCAAGATGCCGGGAGCATTGCTTCTGGACTTGAGCCCCTGAGGAGCGCATCGCGTCATTGCCAGAGGATGCTCTGAGCAGCGCAGAGCTTTCGGAGGCCTCACCCGCCTCCCCAACGGAGGCATCACCCAGGCACAGATACTTATCTAAGCTAAGCCCTTGAGCTGGCCAGAAAAACGCGACGTTCTTCGCAGGCCGAGGGAGGACGACGCGGAGATGGGCCTGTGGCAATGGTGCAAAGCATTGATCCTTGCTCTGTACGGATCTTGCAGCCATACTGGCCATACTTGACAAAAGCTTTGCAAGACCTCGCGTCTAGCTTCAGCAAACGGCAATTACGGTGAGTGAAAAGCCTGTCTGCCAATTCAGCCCTGTGCCCGAAGCCTGAACCATTCTTTCATTCTGAAGGCCTTTGTCTGATTGGCGGAAACCAGTTCATATCAGGAGACGATCAGAACGCGTCTTCATTAAGGGCTATGGCTTGCATTTTCTAGCGGGCAAACCGGCAAGGTTTTCTTTTCCTGCTTGTTTGGTTAAGTAAGTTGCCAGCGCCCTGAAGCTGCAATGCACGGAGGTGAAGGTACAGAAATGCTAGACTCTACCCGAGTCAGTGAATCGCAAACTCGTATGTGGTTTCAGCATCAAGCACTTCCACTTTGGGATGCAGGAATGTTGCATGCGCAGCCTTCTCAGGAAAGTTGCGCCTGCACAGGCTGAGTTCCTCGAGGCAGGGATGAGATGTGTTGAAAATGCATGTGTGCGCCCGCGAGCATTCCAGAAGGAGACCGAGTGGGGCTTGTATGGTTGCCTGGATTTGCAGCTGGATACAGTGCCAAAGACCGCAAAGGCTTCTGTCGACGGCAACCCTGAGCCGAGGCGAGGAGCAGAACTCGAGCATCAAAGCTGCGTATCGCGCCGGACTCGAGCAGGCAATCCGGATTCCATTTATTTAGTGGCTTCTCAAAAGCCTGGGTTTCTGGCGTGTCTTTGGAATCCCCGAGCATGCCAGCACCGTGTCAGCGCATGAGGTGTTCCTCAGTTTTCGATGCTCCAGTCGCGCCAAAATTTTCATCACCTGGATGTATCAAGTACGCCTCCTAAATCGAGCAGTTACTTGCGAAGCGCATGCAGGTGGACATCACCGTGGGGGTGCGTCTCTGTGCCTGCATTTCAGTCAGAGGGCTGTTGCCATCTGTTTCCAGGAATTGCCTAGTATGGTAAGGGACAAGTGGCAGGACATGGCAGGATGCCGTCATCACAACATGATATCTTCAAGAGCTTGCACAAGCATGCATGCTGTTTGCCAAGGTCAGTACCAAATCGTGTTCGGCCCGGAGAAGGGTTTCGCTCAACAGAAGGACGTTTTGTTCTGCATGTGGTGTGAGGTATTTCATTGTGTGCTTATACTCACCGAACACACTGCTCCCGTCTATCTTCTGAAGTTAAACGAGTTGTTATGGTCACGGAGTGCAATGGTTGGGCCACAGCTAGTTTCTATTGCTAGACCTCTTAGCGATTAACCTCCTTACTTCACAGGTCATCACCTTCAAGTGCCCTATGGGCTGTATGGTCAAAAGGTAGCATACTTATTCTGAGTGTAGAAGTGTCGCAAAGTGGCCCACAGTTGTTCTCTTTAAGCCCGCCGGGTCTTTTTCTCTTCTGGGGATTCTGGGCCATAGTGCCCCCTTAGTTTACTTCACGGAGTGAGTGGGCACTATTCAACTCCAACTATTGCGACCATCGTTATACTTGCATTGCGAGCGGGTGATGTGGTGGCTGGCAGACCTTTCGTTGTGATCAAAGTGCCCTTACAGCTGCAGGGATTGCACTGGCTCACAAGCCAGCGAATTACTTCAGATTTGAAAGCTGGACTTGATAGTACTTGAAGGGGCAGCATGTGCCTTGACATGCCTGCATCACTGCATCGGCTGAAGATCTTAGCGTAAAGGCGTAATTCGCATGAACAGCGGCTCATTATGCTGGACATGCAGGCATGGTAATGAGATGTAATGAGTTTGAGAGTTGTACGACAGTTTTACGCGCAATAGAAGTAAGTATTTATCTGAAAGATGACAAGGCGCACAGCAACAAGTTCAGTAGTACAGTTGGCGATGGTGGCAAAACAATGTCAGCAACACATGGAGAGGGTCAGTACATCCTACCAGCAGTAGTAGTGAGTATTTTTCGCAGCAGCAGACGGAGGAGGAGTAGTCGTAGTAGTAGTGGGAGTGCTAGTGCTGGTGGCGGTGGCGGCGGCGGTGGCGGTGGCGGTGGCGGTGGCGGCTGCGGCGGCGGCGGCGGTGGTGGTGGTGGTGGTGGTGGTGGAGAAGCTGGTGTAGCAGTAGTGGTAGTGCCTCCAACGATCCTGGGCAGCCAGGATACACGCCTACGGAAACGGCGCTTGGTGCGGCGGCGCGGCGTGAGCCGCGATGAGCTCCAAAGGCGTCTGGAAGAGGTCCAGACTGCGGAGTCCCCCCCAAAATTGATAACCATTCGTGCACATTTGAACATGTACAAATCTCTTTATGTACACATCTCTATTTGTACACATCGCTATATGTACGTGCATTTCCAGAAGGAGACACTTATACAGGAGGTCTGGGGCGTTTACATAGGCGGGATCATATCGTATCAGCAATTTACAGGGTTGTTGAGTAATCAGAAGGGATGGAACAGCTGCACGTGTCTGCAAGTTGTGGTTGCTGGCCCAGTTTCTGAAGTAGTAACTTTGGCAAAGTGACGGGTATGGATGGAGGTTCACAAAGCCCGGGGTTGCTTTGTTGGAGTCCACCATGGGAACTGCGTGACTTTATCTTGCAAGCCGACCGAATCCCACTAAACTGTTGTCTTAGTCCTTGTTTCCAACCGGCTCAGCATACTCGACACAGTCAACTGCACTTGGCAGATCTACTGGAATCCCATATGCAAGATGTCCAATCTGGCTTTGATGGATTTCATGCAGGCCATGCCGGTGCAAACTGAGCGGGACCAAGATGAATGCATGCTTTGTTTGATCGAGTTCTCAGCTTCGCCGCAAATGCCTGCCGCTTGGCTGATGTCAAGATGATTCGTAAGAGACAATGCATCGGCTATGCTGTACCCAGAACGCGTTCAAGCACACATTGGCAAAGTCCAAGTAAGCTTCAATTGCTGTAAATCAACAGTAATGGTGAACCAAGCTATCCGCTGTTTCTGCGTCTGCGTCTATCAGGGAGAAGTTGTTGCCACTGCACTGTTACACTGTGGTACGTTTTCTTGTCATGTAATTCCAGATGGGGTAATCCTGCTGCATGTTCCTGCGTCTTGAATTGGCCACAAACAGAAAAGGTGGTTGAGTTGCCCGAATGCAGACACGTCTTCCACCGAGCCTGTGCCCTGGCAGCGACAAGCTGTTGCTGTGGCCCTGAGAAGCGCAGAGGTGCATTAAGTAGTGGGGTGGGGTTTCGAGACTCAAAGCAAAGCCAGCTGCTTAGTCATCAGGACCCTTGCAAACTTTACAGGGTTCGCAGCAAAAGTAGTAAGCGAACAACATGGACACGTTGGGGAGATTTGTGCATCCCACAAGGCGCCCAACAGCTCATGGACACTGATGGCAGGCCGGGCAGTGCATCCGCGGAAAATTCACGACCCTCGATGCAGTTCTAGGTTCACACCCATTTTCCTGAATGCTTTGCAGAAGGGATCCTGTGTACAGATTGCAGTCTTGGGGTTATGAGTTGAACTAAAATTGTTGGTTTGTGTTCGCAAAGCATTCAGATTGGCGCAACCTCCTCAACGCCAGATATTCTTGAACCCTCACACTAGCATCTAGCATCTTTGTTGTTTGTGAAGAGATATCGCGAGGATGTGGATCTAGTGAGCTTTCCAGCTTGACAGGTTGATGACTACCCGCAGGGCCAGTCGTAGTAGCATGCACATTAGCAGCAGGCAGGAGCTGAAGCATATACTAGAGTAGTTTCCATTTTCTTTTCCATTATCCCAATATAACCCCAATATACTATAGTAGTTTCCATTTTCTTTTCCAAGGAGCAGGAACAGGAACATAGAGGAGAAGCCACGGTGGTGTTAGTGGTGGCAGCAGTGGTTGTGGTGGCGGCACGGGTAGGAGGAGGCCCCCGTTCACCACACTATCTGCACCTTGGTGTTTTGCCGACTTATGGTCCCTTCCTTCATGTCCCTTCTGATGGTCCCATGTCGGTGTGACACACAACGTGCAGGAATGACCCTTTACCCGGAGAATCCAGGGGCTAGGGCCTGCGGGAAAACCATCAGATCATAGTTTGTTCGTTCCAGAGCGCGGGAGGCCCAGCAGCCCATCTGAATAGGAGCCTAGCAGCCAGTGTTTTACCGAGTAGTCTTTCATGTGCAGAGCGCCACTGTGACAGAGGCCAATTATCTGCCCAAAGTGTAAAGAGCTGATGCCTTTGGTGAAGGTGCCCATGCTGTAGGAGGAGCGTTGACTGGTCTGGCACCTGGAACAGCCACTTTCTTGTCATGCGTCTTGCAGAGATTGTTGTGTGAAAGCCTGTTGCTGGCACGCTTTGCGACAAACCTGTGCGTGCTACACTTTTGAAGACTCCAGCAAACTACACATTGGAGAATGAGGTCTTCCTTGCGTGAGTGAGGATTGCAGCGGCCTGTTCGGTCATGTACTGGTGATTCTGTTTTCGCTGCGCTGCACTCGCCGTTTCGATGCTTGCTCGCGCGCGACAGCGCATTTGCTGGCAGGTCAACCACAGCAGTTGTGATGTACAGTGTACAGAATAAATGGGAAAACCAGGAGGCACAAACATCCAAGTCCACTTCTAGTCTAGGCACAGAACAGCATGACCATTCCTTTCTCTACCTCCAACTGTTCGTGCCGCCTGCGACCATAATGCAAGTAGCTGACAACTGCGTGAAGGCCAGAAAATAATGACAATCAAATTTCAAGGAGGCGCACGCAGACTCTTCTTCAGTGACTGATGATATGCGATCACGAGCTCAATTCTGCAAGGCACCCGGCAAACGTGAGGATCCTACGGAGATTGAAGAGACTCGAGCAAGAGGTCAAGGCTCGGAAAGCAGGTTTGCATGGCTGGAGCCGCCGCTGGGGAACGTGACGTTCTCCTTGTCTCAGGACATAGCGTACTTCACGCCGACACACTCACCCTACAATTCTCCACACTCCACCAGCTTTGATCCATGGGGGTGAATTTTTAGATAAGCCCCATCTCTGCTCTCATATAGATCAGGGTCAGAGGGCTAGCATTCTGTGACAATACCCGCAATGCAGTTGGATGGGCCAACCTCGGCACCTTATGCCGAGACGCCGGGGCTTCGGCGTTTGCTTCCTGAATTGGTGTGTGGCTATGTCCGTGACAGCATGCTTGTTTGGTCAGGCTCTGCAGAATGTAGACTGTGTGCAGTGGAAGTCAGCTGTTTCCCTTCGATCCCAGTGCCTCTAAAAGCTAGAACCGATCAGATTCCTACTTTGAGGCGCCGGAAGAAGCGTGCCTGGTACGCCGATCCTGCATCTGCTCAGCCGCACAAGGTGACTGCTTGGTGATCACGCCTGACAGTGAGCTTGGGACTGGCATTGTTGACAGTGCTACGAAAGCACGTCAGAGAAGGTGTTTGACAGCTCTAGTGTGGAAATCACTGGCTTGCCGCTCTTACTTGCTTTTCAGAGCATCTGAAGGCGCCAGGCCCCAGTCCAAGAAATCCCGTTGTTCGTCTGCCGGCGGCCAACCTGGTCTAGTGGACAAACTACGTAACAAACAGCAACTTCGGCGTCTAAATTGCAATGCTGGGTTCCCCTTCTTTGTAGTCCAAGCCTGCCCAGCCCGCAGGCGTACAAGGTCCGTGCATGGCACTCAGCCTTTACCGGCTCACGATTTTTATCTGCAGGTTCTTCTCGGATCCTCTGGGCACATTCCCGCAGACAACAGCTGGGCTTTCAAACAAGTAAGTTGTTTGGGTTGGTGTCTGTTTGAAGCTTGGAGTGCTGTATGAACGCAGAATCGGCAGTTGGGGGTCCAAGCTGGGGTAGTTATGCATTCTTCCTCCTTGGCTTTTTTTCCCGCCCACCCGCCCTGAAGGCTTCTATTGCATGAAGAGTCGCAGATTTCCCCCTTTCCGAGGGGTCGGGAATTGTGAGTCTTTGACCACTTTCTCTTCCTGAATGAATGTGATAGATACGATGTACTCACATCTTATGGGACCCAGTGTCTTTGATGCTGTAAGTCTGTTCATTCCTGTCTCGAAGCCAAGGCTACCATCCAAGCGCAGCAAGCTTCCCTGTTTCGGCGGCTTCGCAGGCGCTCAAGAGATTCGGGGCATGTGAGCTTTGCCGAATGCAGAATGTCCAGGTATCGCTTGGGTGGTTTTGAGCCAAACCTGGTGAGAGGAAGTTTTGCGCCCGCCTTGGCGACGACAACATACTGCTACTTTTTCTTCCGCTGAAGCCGACTAAGCTGCCGAGGCACCGCAGCGCAAGATTCGTCCGGCCAAAGCTCCAAGCCAAGTCGCTTAAACTGCGGCAACATGCAAAGCCGTTTGGGCTGCTGTCTTTTGAGCGCCTTTGTATGGGCAGGATGTTGCTGGACCAACTCCGGTGCTTAGTCTCGACCAGTCTGTGGCCAGGATCCAGGAAGGGCTTCTGAGTTTCAATGAGGCAATAACATTTAGAATGAGGCATGCCAGATGAAGCCTTTCACTTTGCTCGCAGAACTTTCCCAGGTCCTGACGCGGGCGCTGGCATCAGAGTGTGGGAAGACGATACCAGGTGGCCCAATCAACCTCTTTGTCTGAAGCTTTGACTGACAGTAGTAGCACGCCCTTGAATGCAGACACGGCACTAACAACATCCTTGCCACTTGCTTACTCCACATCAAAATGCGGTGGTAGGCGTAGTGCATGATGCTGTGGAGCATGGCTTCAGCAGCTTTCTGACAGGATGTGAGCTGCTACTTCATCAGCTAGGCTGCGATGTTCTTGTCTTATCGCCTTCGTAGCTTTGCAAGATTCCGCATGTACGGCAATCCGTATACTTCCCCGTCAGGCGAGCACACAGCAAAAGCTCTGGGTGCTCCCTGTACAACATCACTGCAGGAGCAGAGGTGGCTGTTTGAGTCTGCCTCATGCACACGTTTCGGCGAGCAGGGGATAAGCAGCAACGCCGTGTCATCTCGCTTGGAGTGCTGAAGCTTTGCATTGTTGAATGTGGTGCTGAACAGCCAGTTCTGTCAGGGCACTGGTGGCTTCCTCTCGCATCGCATCGTTGTTGGGCGCGGCAAAAATTGGCTGCCCCACGCTCCTCCAAAGAATCGAGGAGAATCTGCATGTTCTGGCTTGATGACCAGCTATGAGCTCCACGCAGGGTCCTGCCGATCTCCATGTGGTCTTGCATCCCAACCTATGGTCAGAATGGACTGCAATCCAGGAGCGCATCTCCGATGGCAACCTTGTAGTTGGACTGCGAAAACATCGGCCTCTGGCCCTGCCCGCGTCCTAGTTAGGCAAGGGTTGACCGGCACCCATTTCACAAACCGATGAGTTTGGGCACCTACGCTTCTTTGACAAATGCTTCAGGGGCCATAGGAAAAGCCTCCAGTTTCTTCAGTCCAAGGCCGCGAGCATTGCTATCGCAGCTCAGCTGAAGCTAAAGTCGCGAGAGTCAATCGTGACGGTGACGCACAGCGTTTTCAAGGACATGTGTGGAGGTTAGCACGACACGGAAGAGTGTTTTGTTTATGCTTAGAAGATGTATCAGACCATAGAGTGTCATCAACTGCTTCGAATAATCTCAGGGAGGAGGCTTCAGCTTTGGACTTTTTGGGTGTAAGCCTAGCAGCCGCGTATGTGGCAGATCAGTGGCTGGTTGACTTTTCTTTACCTTGTACGTGTAGCTCTTGCATCTTGGTTCGGTGACGTTCGTCTTCCGCTGAGTATCTTTGCCGCCAGAAAGAAGGAAGCCCAGACCTCGCTGACAAGCATCCCCATATCCCCACTGCTCGAGTGGGCGAAAATTCCACCCAGCAAGTCAGACCACTAGCTGTAGCGAAAAGCACAGAGCTTGTTTTGCTTGACACGCTTCCACCAGCTTCAATCCGACTTGCTCATGGTTTAGCGGGGGATGGTTTGGGGAGACTGGGAAAAGAAATCCCTACACGAAGACAAGCCAGCAAGCAGCATCCCACGTGGAACGCTTGAGATGGTGATTTTCCCTGCTGCTGCAGTACACTCCCAACCCGTCATGAAAAGAGTGAGTCAGGATGTGCAAAGGTCAGTTCTGAAACAACCAGTAAGCTCAGCATAACCCCATATAATATAGTGTCCTCCCGCCTAGAATACCCCTCACTCCCCAGGACCAAATTTTCCCAACATATCCTAAAGCCTAAACCCCGCACTGTTTTACCAGGTATTTGCAATTGGCCCACGTGTCATCTCATGATCGAGGCCTGTGAGCAGGGCAGAGCGAAGAGGAACAGCGCCTCCCATCCCTTCAAACAATGAATGGCTAAATTGTGTGTATACATATGTAAATACATGTACTGTAGACACGATGTAAACTTCGTGTAACGAGGGGAAGATATGATTAGGGTGTGCTATCTACCCTGCCCTCGCTGACGGTTACACCATTGCGTGCTGTCTATTGCCTCACTGCAATGATGAAAGCAGCTTTGTTGAAGTGCCAAACGTGTAAGCCGTCAGGCAGCACTGCTCATGCTGTAAGCCGGCAGCCGCCACCACAGATAGCTGCGGATTTTGTTTGGTCACAACAACATCCGGGCCCAAGCAAAGGTTAAAGTGCCCCAGCCACTGTGCTTTGAGGTTGGGGGAGCTGCTCCGAGTTGGACCTGACTGCTGTGACTGGCCAAGATTTGTTCCAACGTGACTTTTGGGATTCGCGGCTGTGAGTGAGCTGGCGTAGGATGCTTCAGGGGAGGATGCAACATGCTCTGCTTGCCAGCTTGACCTTTGATGTTGCTAAGTGGCACTACTTTGGATGCTGCCATCAGACGAGCTGGTGTCGGACTCAGAGGGTACATCTTCGAAGGTTGGCAGGCACAAGAGACATCAACGGGTTTGAGTTTGAGGCGGCAGTTATTGGCAACCTTGCGGACTTGATTGGCGATTCTGAAGCTCTGGTGCCAGCCTTTGGACATCGCTTGGCGAGGTAGGCAACATCGCGTACTGCTTTTGGACAGGTCTTGTGCATGGTGGTGATAGGCAGTGGCTGGTGCCAAGGAGTTGCGAACTCGAGTCCGGCTGCGGAGGAACTTACTTGCAGGCAGATCCGTCGGCAGAGTTTTGCAGCGTGGATGGCCAACTCATGTGATCCTGCTTCATAGTTGACTGGCTTTTCGCAGCAGTGCACTGCCAGCAGTACAGGCCACTTGCAGTAACAGGCCTTGCTGCTGTGGCTGCCGACGAGGGCGCCCCACCCCCTACTGGATGGCTGAGGCACTCCACTTGTCTTGACACATATGACATGTCTTAAAGAGGGGTTGTGAATTTCTGGCTCCTGCTCGGTTGCTGATTTCGCGCCCTTGCTTTCCTTGTGAGGCTCCTTCAGGAGAATAATCCATTGTCTATTTTCAGCATATTTCTACTCATGCGGCCTCCGAACGGGACATTTCATCATGAGCCCCATGATTCCAGTATAGCTTAATTAATATGGCCTAGTACAATCCATAATGGCAACCCCAAGTACGAATCCATACATACCAGTCCGTGGAATGGTTGATATTGAAATAGCCCTTTGGCCGGGCATAGCGGCGCCAGATTTCAAGCATCCTGTGGTAGCAATTTGAAGAGAGTATTTTCCATGTTCTTACCGGCATTTGTGTGTTGCCACCAGAATTTGAGAAGCAGGCACGGCAACTGAGTGACTTAAAGGAGAAGAGCGGGTTGTTTTGTCGGAATCGGGCTACACGAGATTTCCGATTAATTTGGGGGAGGATCAGCCCCAAGCCCCCAACATACTCGCATACTTCCGGTACCAGCCCGTTCAGTTCGGAGGAGGGTAAGATGCAGCCTCCAAAGCTAAAGCCCTCGACCCTAACCCCATACCAAAAGCCTCCTCCCTGACCCTACTCCAAAGCCGTCGGCCTTTCTCCAAGATCCTCTGCCCTAAATCAAACACTCCGCCTTAAACCCTCGACCGGCCCTTCTACAACACTCTGAGTCTTCTCCTTAGCCCTCAAACCCTATTAGAACCCCTAAGAACCCCTACATATTCCCTAGCTTTCATTTCATTTTCCATTTTCTTGTCCATTTCATTCTGCATTATAACCCCAATCTAAGCCTATATCATAGCCCTATATCTTGAGAGTTCTAGGTAGTCCTAGGCTTGTGACTTAGGAGCTCAAGATGTCGCGAAATGGCCTCGGTATGTCTAATCAAGATGCATGTGAGCTATAGTCTAGACTCCTTAAAGGGGGTTTTATAGGGGATTCTACAGGGGCTACTAAAAGAGGCTATAAAGGGCAATGCTAGGAGTATAGACTATGGTTCATGTGGAAAACGCTTCTACTCTTTCAGTTGTAGTCGGAACCAATTCTGCGGCCAGTTGTGATGGGCCTCGGTTGTAAGTTGTGGTCTGTTTGTTCTATCTTACGAGCTTAATTACGGTCACTCTTTTCTCCCATCCTGTAAGCCTGTAGGCAGACTCCCCGGGAGATCGGCGGATTGGAGTTAAAGACTTTGCAAATCACGTACATTGAACATTTACAAGGGTTGGAATTCTTGAGAAATGCCACTGCTACCGTGGAGATTTTTGAGCTGGTGAATGTCGGAGCTACGGCTCCCGACTGGTTACTGTCATTACAGAATTATGAAGTAGTCGGGCGTAATTGTTCCTTGAGCACGGGCGCCATTTTTATATGATTCGGGACTTCGGGACAATGGATTTTTTGCCCTGAAAACTGTGGGCTTTCAGAAGCTTACCATAGCCTCACAGCACATGGATGAGCTGCCACTTTGCTGGAATCTGGAATCTATGAGCATCAGGATATTAAAGCATAGCTACACAATCGAACTAAAAACGAGCAACACCACAAAGAAGCCAATATATCACATCTCTGTTTTTTTTTGACTTTGTTCTGAGGTCTTCGCCAACAGGAAAGGAAGAGCAGCACGTTCAATGATCAAAGTTGAATTCCAGCACATACAGTTTAAGTCGGCAAGGGAATAGGGGAACCGTAGGTGGCTTGACTGCCGAACCAAAAATCGAAAGATTCCTGAGATTGATCTGCCTATCCGAACCTATCCCATGGGGGGGTGTCAGAATGTCAAGAATCAGCCTGGCAGCAGGCCCTTGCAAGGAGCAGGAGGTGCTCCGCCCGCTGCTGGGGAGCTTGTGATGCACTGCAACCCAGAGGGGACCCGTAACATTTCGTGGCAAGATATTATGCATCACCATCTGTGACTTCGATGGATTTCGCTTGCCAGAAAGCCTGTTCCAGTGTTTGCTCACGAACTCTCTGGCTGCCGTTGTCTGAGGTTGGCTGCTGGTGTTTGCTGGCTGTCGCGCTCCTGCAAGTTTGGATTCCATACTGATGAGAGGGACCAGAACCTTTTATTCAAATCACGTGCCAGGCGTACACCGAGCAAAAAACTTGCAGAGGCCTGGGATCACTGCCAAAACATATGTAACATGTTGGACGTGCTTGAGGCCAGTCATCCACGGTACGTTTGCTAGTTGTTCAATGGCTCATGGGGCTATTGCATGTTGCAACATTTTCTAGCGCAGGTGTGCGCTCGATTGGCCATCTCGGCAACTGGACAAGAATCATAATACAATGCAGCTTCTGTGCGCATGCCATCATTCCGTGTATTGCATGCTGACAGAGGCCAAAGGTGCAGAAGAAACGGCAGCGGCATGGAGGCAACAAAGCCTGCCTGGCCAGACGTGTGAGTTGGCTTGGAAAAAAATCCCCCTGACCGTCGTGACGTCCGTGGCATCTCACGTTAAGTTTGACCGAGGAGACTGTTGGGACATTGTTGCTTCATATTCGCAGCCTTGATCCAACGATGCCATCCAGAGAGCAATGAGGCAAAGAAGAGAATTTGAATGACAGGACGATCAATGACGGCTTCAGCAGTTCTCCTTCATGCTTTGATGACATGTTAGACGACCTGCGCGCCTTTTTGGTTCAAGGCAATAGATACTATGAACACTTCTGAATTCAACCATTTGCGTAATGTCTTGAAAGTCGCTCTGTGGAATCTGGTGTTCGAATAGGTCATAGAGTTTTTAGCATCCAGCCATGACGGAAAAGATCGTTGCGTTCATGGCTTTGGTCCTGGCAGCCGCAGCAGATTGGAGCAAAACCGCAAGTCCCAGCTCAGCAGGATCTTGTGGCCTTCAGTGCAGTTCCGATGCTGACTGCCAGCTGTGCGGCAGCACTGGTCGGTGCCTGGGCTCAGATTCCATCACTCGGATTTGTGTTGATGCGCCAGCTCAGACTCCAGCTTCACCAAAAGCATCGCCCGTGGGCCTTGACTGGCCGGACTTGTGGGCTGCAGATATGGTGTCGGTGACATACAACGACTTCCGTGACAAGATGTCCACGAAGCAAGGGAGATTCTACTACGACTTTAAGCATTTGCGGCAGAAGCAAGACTTCGGACGAACCTCGCTGATTTACGTCGGATCCAAGTTCTATTTTGTGGCCTTTGGCTTCACCTGCTTCTACGTAGACGCCAAGGATCCCCTCTCCAAGGAGGAGGTTGCCATTCCAAGGCCAAACTTCATGAGGGCCTGTGCTGAGGTGGAGGCTGCCAAGTACGTAGGCCGAGAGCTAGTGCATGGCAAATGGGCTGACCACTACTCCTGTGCAACCCGTTCCGCACAAAGACTGCCTTGTTCAGGAAAGTGCTTGCTGTTTTCGTTTGCTTTCGACTGAACTTGAGGCCATCGACTACGCCAATCAAACCATTGCGTTTCAGAGCTGGCACAGCCTCGGCCTAAACCGTACAAAAGCAGGACTCCCCTTGGCGTTGTCAGCAGGAGACTCCAAGCCGACTTGGCAGGCGCCACGGCTAACCACCACATACTACAGCAACGTGACGACGGAGGCTGCGGCGGTGCCCGATTCGCTGTTTAAAGTGCCCAAGGTTTGCATTCCCCTCCCATCCGCGCTCGCGCTGCGGGAGTTCCCAGACTTGCCCCAGGATTTTCAAGCCTTTCTTGCCTCTATGCGGGGCCCTTCGCAAATTCTGCCAGTGATCGTTTGATGTCGCGCTGGTTCCGGGAAAGCCCGCAACAACCAACATGGCATCCGGAGTGCCGGAGTGCTTGGCTCCGCTTCAATCATAGTTGGCAAATAATGAAAAAGAGATATATTCTTAAGAAATGAAGCCGCCAAGATAAAATCATTTGAAGACAATATGATATTATGATAGAAATCAAAAATTTGTCTTTTCGGAATAACTTGAGATAAATCGAGTAATGATATTCTCAGAATCGGACATTGAAGATAAATCTACGAATCCACTCATTTGGGATAGGATTCGCTCAGAAGTGTATAACGTAGGCAATGAGAAGCGGGCAGACGGGTATTTCCTAATATACCTGATTTTGATATTAAACTTAATCTATAAAACGTTGCGGGCTTCCTCCGTCTTCCGTCTGCGCACATTTTTCCAGATCGATCTTCCAAAATATCCCGGATTTTTTGGAAGATCGGTCCCTACCAAACCTGATAAGCTTGCGAGGTGTCCGCCTCTTCGTAGAGCGCCCGGACTATTTTTCTAAAATGTCCCGGGTATGTTGCAGACCTTTTTCCAAAATATCCGGGATATTTCGTAGGTCGCGACCCTCGAAATATCCGGGATATTTTGGAAGACCGGTCTCGATTAAGTTTGGAAAACGGTCCGGGACCGCGTTTTTAAAATATCTCGGCTATTAAGATCGGTCTCGACTAAGCATGAAGCCATGTGTCTTCTGTAGAAGTAATTGCTACCTAACCGTAAATTGCTAGTTCGGCGTGAAAAGACAAATTTATGTGGTAGTGGCGGTGGCGGTGGTGG